ACCTTGGGCACTGGACAGACGTTTTGTGTAGTGGTGGTCTCTTTTTTACGGATTTTAGCTACTCTGTAGCATGCACCCTTATACTCTGACATCGAACCTAAGTTTTAAAGAATCCTCAGAAAGAACAAAAGATGGAAAAAAACCACTATTTTCTTAGTTCTATAAGTGGAAGCAACTTGGATGAAAAAATATGTGAAGAATAGCCTTCTCAGCATTTACTTTCATTTGAAGCTCCAAGGAATCGAAGCTCTTTCTGGACTGTTGTGCTCAACCAAAACAAATCAAGTTTTATTTTGTTTTGATATTTAACACAAGTAGTTTTACAGGTTCACCTTTACCCAAAGCCAAGGCAACGGTGCTTCTGGGTTTGCAATCTTCGTACTGAAATGTACAATATTCTGCGAGAAAATGCAGTGTTGCATTTCTTAGAAAAATACTGGTTTATTTCTGAGCAGAGCATAATGTACTAAAAATCTTATCTGATCTAATCATGATTAATATTTGGCAAGCTCTTTTTCTGCTACATCTTCATGATAGTAAGTGCCAAATAGGTTTTGGTTGAGTATAGCTTTGAACAAAATTGGGAAATAAAACGGGAAAAATATCTAGAATACAAACAGTGACTTTGATTCCACTCTTTTTAAATAAAGGAGATAACTACTGAATGATGTGACATTTTATGGATAACAATCTTGACCTCTGATTATTTAATGTATCTTAAAAAATGTGAATTTGTTTTATACACTTTATCAAAATAAGCTAGTTGAGACTTTTTTCAGAATTCCAGTACTACCTATTCCTATCACTTTTATTCTATTAGTTTTATTTGGTTTAATTAGAAACATACTCCGTTAAATTAAAGTTGAAAATTCTAAGCCAAATGGATTAGGATACTCTTGACATTAAGGCACATTAAAAAAAAAAAAGATACCTTAAACATCTTGATATAGTTTTTATTGACTGCTTATTATTGGCTCTTGAAAAATTACAGAAGTACAGCTTAAACTAGCATTAGGGTTATTGATTTCTCTTATTAGCTACTTAGTCTTCTTAAATCCTTAGTGCTGGGTCTTCAGCCCATTTTTACAGTATTGTGTGTCACTCCCAGAAAGTGCCTAAAGTTTAATTTTCAGATATATCTTTTACTTTGCCCTTTACATTTTTCCTTTTGGAGAATTTATGTCCTTTAAGAGAGCTAAATATTGAGTTTTTTGAAATCCAATTTTAGCTATTTAGAATTTCTTCTACTGCCTAACTTTCTTCTTCATTAAAAGGCCTGAAAACTGTGACCTTCAAAACAGAAAGGATTGCAAATTAGTGTCTAACTTGATCCTGACCATTGAAACTGTTTTGTATAGAATACAATCAATGTTGTTACCTGTTTTCAAAATAGCTTCTGATAATTAAGTCTGACGTTTCTAATGGAAAGTTTTCATTGTGAGAGTAAGGCTGACAGCCCATGAGGTCATGTATACACGACTGTGTCTGTTCTGCTTAAAGACTGGCTTTTGAATAAAAATAGCTGGGAGGACCAATTTATTAGGGATAGTCAAAGATAAAAACTACAAGGGGTCACGGAAATTAACTGGACATTTTCTTTTAACTGATAGGTTATTAGACCACTTTTCAAAATTATGGTGACAGACTAGGTGGGAAATTAACAGGTAGAGTTGGAATGAAGATTACTCTCCAATGCTCAAATCCTTTCAAGCAAATTTTAAAGTTTAAAGTAGTCTTTAATTAAAGATTGTTTTTCAGTTGAAGGAGCTGTGATTTTGAAAAGTAGCCGTTCAATATCAGAAATTTGGGATGTTGTAGCCTTTATTGTAAGAAGAAGTGATTTTAATTATCTCTATCAAAGTGTGGTGTTCACATACCATTCTTTTGGGTAGAATTTCACAAATTAAGTGGGTTAGTGGTTGGTGGGCCTCATTCGCAGAATGCTAATTTTTGAACATATGGATCTATGATTTAAATTTGGTTATTTTTCTTTTAGAGCCAAGACACAAAAATTAATGCATTTTGAAAGGTATCTTCTGTTTCCATTTCTTTCATGTTTTCATATATTTTGATTATTTACTCTTCTAGAAAAACTTCAAATAGAAAATATATCTTTAAATTGAATGTTTCTTCTATCCCAGTATGTGAACATTCTTCTGTGAATATATGTATATATATTTAATGTAAATTGAGCTTTGTAGCTTAAAATGTTTTCAGAACAAAACTATTTTGTGTGTTTAAGTTTCTCACCTCAAATACACAATTATCTGGGAGTAGCTGCTCAGAAGAAAAAATATTGGCATTTGTGTTGAACATTTTATTTTATTATCTATAGTTTTTTAAGAATTTTTACCAACTGGCTTTCTTAAGAGACACATACAACCATTCCATCCCCCAGCTGTGCATCCACTTTTCCTTTTTTTTTTTTAATGTGGGGGAGGGCGACCACCCCCAACCATAAAAACGGATTTCTGGATTCTTTAAAATAGGTGTTTGGGGGTAAAGGCATTTCCTGAAAACTTAAGTCCACATTTAAATGTGTAATGAATATTTCAAGAGAAACATATGTCTGTGCTATTAACTTTTTTTTGGCAGCAAAACATTACTTCCTAAGAAATTTCCAAACTAGTGAGAAAAAGTTCATGCAAATAATTACCTTTAAACCCTTCCTTATGTTGTTTAAGTTTTTAAATTGTATGTTGGCTTTTGATTCCAATGCCCTTTCTGACTGCTCTGGTTTGAATTAAGTTCTTATTACAACTGCAATGCATATAACCTTCCTTCCCTAAGAAACCATTTCCTGGAATGTGAACCCCTGGTGCCATTAGCTGTTTATACGCAGAACGTCTTATGTGCCTGCATTTCTTGTTGTGCACTCTGTTGGCTGGTTGTGACTAAAATCAGCGTAACTTTTTGTATTAATTATTTCACTAACTGCAACAGTCAAAATGATCAAATCTTTGTACGATGAAAAATTATTTAAATTGTATTTTTCTACTGATTTCTAATTCTGATATAAATGTTTATCAATAAAGAATTACTTTCAATTCTGTGAACTGGAACTGTTATTTCTTTTTCAGTTGCCAATGAGTTTAATCTTTTGTAATAAAGTTGTCTAATTTGTTCTTGTTTTTCCAAATACATTTTTATTGATTTCAGAGAGGAAAGGAGAGGGAGAAAGAGATAGAAACATCAGTGATGAGAGAGAATCATTGATCAGCTGCCTCCTGCACACCTCACAAATGGGATCAAGCCCACAACCTTGACCGGAATCAAACCTGGGACTCTTCAGTCCGCAGGCTGACACACTATCCACTGAGCCAGACCAGCTAAGGCAGTTCTTGTTTGTTTTAATAACAGTACATATGTTCAGCTATGTTAGAACTTCTTATTTACGGTAAAATTCTTGTTCAAAGATGTGAGTACACCAATGCTTAGCTTGATGAATTTTTACATATTTTACACATTTAAGTGACTGTGGCTTAGATCAAGATACCGAACGTTTTTAGCATCCCAAAAGGATATATACAGAATTCAGCAAGAAGCCCTTAAGATCTGCCCAGCCAGAGTGACTCAGTGGTTGAGCTTCAACCCATGAGTCAGGAGGTCACGATTTAATTTCTGGTCAGGGCACATGCCTGGGTTACAGTCTTGTACCCAAGTAGGGGTCGTGCAGGAGATAGCTGGTCATTGATATTTTCATTTCCTCCTCTTCCTTCCTCTCTGAAATAAAAATATATTAAAAAAAAAAAAAAAGATTGCCCTTTAGGGCAAACCAGCTGGCCCCTACCTGTGCATGAGGCCTCTATCCTATCTAATAAAAGAGTAATATGCAGATTGACCATCATTCCAACACACAATAGCTGCCCCCATGTGGTCAAAGATGGCTGTCCCCATATGGACACAAGATGGGAGGCATCAGTCCTGCAAAGAAGGGCAGTTGGAGGCAATCAAACCTGCAGGGGAGGGCAGTTAGGGGTGACCAGGCTGGCAGAGGAGGGAAGTTGGGGGCAAAAAGACTGGCAGGGGAGCAGTTAGACATCAATCAGACTGACATGGGAGTGGTTAGGGGGTGATCAAACTGGCAGGCAGAAGCAGTTAGGGGGAATCAGGAAGGCAGGCAGGCAAGCAGTTGGGAGCCAGCACTCCTGGATTGTGAGAGGGATATCCGACTGTCCCTTGGTGGGGGGGTGTCCCAGATTGGAAAGGATGCAGGCTGGGCTGAGTGACCCCTCCCCCCTGCCCCCATGCATGAATTTCGTGCACTGGGCCTCTAGTCTATAATAAAAGCCTAAGTGACCATTATGGTGGAACGAACCAGAACCACCGCTCAACACAGGAGCTGCCTGCCCCCTGGTGGTCAGTGAGCTCCCACGGGGCAGCTCACTCAGAAGCCAGGCTTACACTGGCCAGCACAGTAGGAATGGCAGGAGCAAAACAAACAACCCATGTGGCACTAAATAGACTGCAAAAAGTACATTTACCCACAATATGAGAACTGAATCAAAAATCTGATCATTTGCCTTGCTCATTCTTAGCTGGTAAAATACATTGACTCAGAATTGTCACCCTCTCTGCATGTCTGCAAATAATCCCAGAAAGCACCCCTAATTTTTATCTTAGGGTTACAATAGATTTTAGCAAGTAAACGAATACGAAAATACCAGCCTGTGACTAGCGAGGGCCAACTGAATCCCCACAGATATTAATCCCCATTTACTAAATTAACGAGGGTAGGAAGCACCAAAGACTACAAGTCCCAGGATGCACCGCTTCACCACGGAGCCCACGTTGGGATAACCGCCACCGCATAGGCCCGGAAGTGTCGCGTTACTCTCACGTACACTCCCTGCGCATGTGCAAACGAAACGCAGCGGGGGCTCGCCCCAACCGCCGCCGCCGCCGCCCCCGCCTCCACTTTTTGATCTATCCCCAGAGCTTTTTGCTTCGGGGTTAGCCGCTGCGGCCCTGTGGCCGGGCCCGCCCCGCGTGGCAGCGATATGGAGGAATTCGACTCCGAGGACATCTCCTCCTCCTCGGAGGACGAGGACTACGTGCCCTCGGGTAAGCGATTCCTCCTGAAGAGGCTCGCCCCGCCCCGCGACCCACGTGAGGCGCGTCGGGTTCGGCGCTCGCTCGTGGGCCCGGTGGCGGCCCGGGGCGCGGATCTGGAGCATCCCCGGCCGCTCCGTCCCCGCGGCCCGCGGCGGGTGCGTGAGGACCTCTCGCGCCGTCGCTCCGGGCGGCCTGACCGCGGCCGCAGCCCCTGGTGGGAGCGCGGGGACCCGCCGCGGGAACACGGCCTGCCCCCGGGGGCGCCGGCGGGGGCTCGCTGTCCCCTAGGGACCCCAGTGCTGAAAGCGTCCGACCGTCTGAGCTTTGGAAATTGTTTTATCCCGTCCCGAGGTTACTGCCAGCTAGCATCACGCCCAAGGTAGATCTGCTCACTCTCTGCCCCCAGAAGGGGTCTGGTTGGTGGAAAGTTCACATGGTGACGGTTTTTTTTGTTTGTTTTTTTTTTGCCTGTTTGCAACTTACATGCCCATTGCTTCCTTCTCAGAATTTTGTTGTCGTTGCTAATTCTCACCTGAAAATATTTTTCCCCCCATTGTTTTGCAGAGAACGCGAGAGACACATATCGATTGGTTGCCTCTCCAAGCCCCCGTTTGGGGGGCGGCGGCGGCGGCGGCGGCGGCGGGGAGCGAACCTGAAACCGAGCTACCTGCCCTTGACCGGGAATGGAACCCGCGATCCCTCCCTGTGCGGTCAACGCTAATCACTGTGCTCTCCGGCCAAGGCCTCAGAACGCATTTTGTGTAGAGACCTCAAACTGAGCGGGGCCAAAATAAATTGTCACTCAAACAAACTTATCTCTTCCGCCATTCTGAGCCTTCCCCAGACACTCCCATCTCATTAAAAGTATCCATACATTGGCTCAGTGGATAGAACATCGGCCTGCAGACTGAAAGGTCCCGGGTTCGATTCCGGTCAAGGGCATGTACCTTGGTTGCAGGCACATCCCCAGTGGGAGGTGTGCAGGAGGCAGCTGATCGATGATTCTCTCATCGATGTTTCTAACTCTCTAGCCCTCTCCCTTTCTCTCTATAAAATATCAATAAAATATATTAAAAGAAAAAAAAGTATCCATACAAGCGCTTTGGTAGAAAGCAAACAAAACCGCCTAGGAGTGGAGTCATCTTTATTCCTCACTTTTGTTTGTTTGTTTATTTATTTTATTTATTTTGTTCAGATAGTTGTTCCTCTCTCCCCTTTCTTAAACAGCACTATTTCTAAGGGTTTCAAACTGGAAACAACATGAATGTCTATCAACAGAAGAATGGATAAATACGTTGTGGTCTAGTCATACAATGAAATGCTATTTTGGAGTGAGAATGAATAAACTACGTCTGCATGCAATGATAAGGGTGATGGTCACAAACAGAATGTTGAGTGAAAGCAGCCAGACACAAAAGTACATACTGTAGGCTTCTGTTTCTTTAATGCTCAAAAACACGCCAAACTAGCCAAGACCGGTTTGGCTCAATGGATAGAGGGTTGGCTTAGGGATTGAAAGGTTCCAGGTTCGATTCCGGTCAAGGGCATGTACCTTGGTTGTGGGTATATCCCCAGTATGGGGTGTGCAAGAGGCAACTGATCGATGACTCTCTCTCATCGATGTTTCTAACTCTCTCTCTCCCTTCCTCTCTGTACAAAATCAATAAAATGTATTTAAAAAAAACAAACGCCAAACTAACCTGAGATATCGGAAGTCAGGGTAGTGGTTGCCTTTGGGATGGGCCCAGTGACTAGAGGCTGGAAGGAGGCCAAAGAGGCCTTATGGAATTCTGATCATCATGTTCAGTTTCTTGAATTGGGTCCTGGTTTTATGGGTGTTCACTTTGCATAATTTTATTGAGGTATACATTAGGTTTGTGTGTTATGCTTCCAATAAAAGTTTATATGAAGTGCCCTAGCCGGTTTGGTTCAGTGGATAGAGCATTGGCCTGCAGACCAAAGGGTCCCGGGTTCCGTTCCGGTCAAAGGCATGTACCTTGGTTGCAGGCTCCTCCCCAGCCCTGGCCCTGGTCCAAGTGCATGCATGAGGCAGCCAATTGATGTGTTTCTCTAACATCGATGTTTCTCTCTGTCTTTCCCTCTCTCTTCCACTCTCTAGAAAGATTAATGGAAAAATATCCTCCAGTGAGGATTAACAACAACAACAAAAAGTTTCTATGAAGTAAAAAAGCTAGTTGAATATCTGTGTTGACAGGCTTTATTGACTGGTGCCCACAGTGTGGTCACTGGGCATCCAAGCAGCACTCTTTCATTGGGGATGCCCGAATGTCAGTATCTGAGGATGGGGAATAGATATGTTTATTCTTTCTGCTATGTCTAACTGGCAGTCTTTAGACCTCTTTCTAAACCTTTGTTATTGACAAGACAAGGCATTACTTGCTCACTTTTGAAATGTATCCAAGATAAATTGGGAATATCAGGTTCTCCTTTGAAAAGTCCAGTAGGTAGAATTGGTATTTCTATTCATTTATTCAGAGGAAAAAAAAAAACACCTATAAAGACAAAAAGGATCCATATCCTCATGGTGTGTAGAGTAAAGCAGGAATTGCAAACATTAAATATAAGAGGGATGAGTTATGGAGGGAAATATGTACTGCTGTGGAAGCGTAGAATCCAGGAGCCTAGCCTAGTCTCCAGGGACAGGAAAGCTTTCTCTAAGGAAGTAATATTTTAGTTAGGTGAAGAATAGAGGAAAGTACTAGACTTTTTTTTTTTTTTTTTTTAATGCAAATGTCTCAACTTGACGTGGAAACCTTTATTCCTGTCTGACCACTCTATATGTGATTTCAGGTGGAGAGTATAGTGAAGATGATGTAAATGAATTAGTGAAGGAAGATGAAGTGGATGGTGAAGAGCAAACACAGAAAACCAAAGGGAAAAAAAGAAAGGCTCAGAGCATTCCTGCCAGGTAATGTTGCCCACGGGGCCCTTAGAAGTCAGGGCGATTGTCACTACCATCCTGTTTGCTGGCGTTGGTGTTGCTGCTAGGGTTTCTTACCTTCAAAGGGAAACATTTGGTGACATTTCAGTATTAAATTTTTTTAGTATTAATTTAAAAAAATGTAATAGATAATATGTACACATTTAAAATGAAAAACTTAGTTACTACAAAAATGTGTACCCCGTTTCTAGCCCTTGTTGCTGTGCCTCAGAAGAACTTTGCTACCAGAGATATTCTGTGCATGTGAAAGTGTGTATGTATGTATTTCCTACTCTCTTTAAAAACAACAACAGCAAATGGCACACTCTGCATATTGTTTCTTATTTTCATTATTTTCCATCTTGGAGATGATACCATAGAAATATATCTAGCTATATTTTATTCTTTTCAGTGGCTGTATGATATTTCACTATATGGATAGGCCTTACTTTAAGGACTAGAGGCCCGGTGCACGAAATTCATGCACTGGGGTGGGAGGGGTCTCTCATCCCAGCCTGCATCCTCTTGCAGTCCAGAACCCCTTGGGGGATGTCGCCTGCCAGCTTAGGCCCGAAGCTGGCAGTCAGACATCCCTCTCGCAGTCTGGAGCCCTAGCTCCTTACCGCCTGCCTGCTCACTGCTCCTTACCGCTCTGCTTGCTGCTCCTTAGAGCTGCGATGGAGGTGGGAGAGGCTCCCGCCACCACTGCTGTGCTCACCAGCTGTGAGCAGGGCTTCTGGCTAAGTAGCACTCTCCCTATGGGAGTGCTCTGACCACCAGGGGGCAGCTCCTATGTTGAGTGTCTGCCCCCTGATGGTCAGTGTGCATCATAGTGACCAGTTGTTCTGTTGTTTGGTCAATTTGCATATTAGACTTTTATTATATAGAATTCTCTTATTGAGACATATTTAATTTGTACCTCACATTTACTATAACAAACAAGACTGCAGTGAATATTTTTATTTTTTATTATTATTTTTTAATATATTTTATTGATTTTTCACAGAGAGGAAGAGAGAGGGATAGAGAGTTAGAAACGTCGATGAGAAAGAAACATCGACCAGCTGCCTCTTGCACACCCCCTACTGGGGATGTGCCCGCAACCAAGGTACATGCCCTTGACCGGAATCAAACCCGGGACCTTTCAGTCCGCAGGCGGACGCTCTATCCACTGAGCCAAACCGGTCCCGGCAGCAGTGAATATTTTTAATATATATATTCATACAAACGTGGAAGAATACCTATAAATCAAGTCTGTAGAAGTAGAAATTTTTTTTTAGAAGTAGAAATGTTTAATCAAAGGTTATATGCATTAAAAATTTATTTATAGATATTAGCAAATTGCTTTCCATAGACCTGTACTGAATTACACTCCCTCCAAAAGTTATAAAAATTCTGTTGGGTTATTTAACTCAGATAAGAGAATCTTCCATAGAAGTCTTTTACTCTCTTTGATTGGTGTTTCTGTCTCTCTGGGCATTGAAGCAAAAAGCAAATTGTAGTTTATAAAAAGGGAAAAAGGAATTTTAGGTATTAAATTCACTTGAAGTTAAAATCAATTTACTTGCAAGAGTTTTGGATCCAGTTTCTTTGTCTTTGAAATTTTCTGTATTCTAGCTTTCATATCTTCAGAAAATGGGGGGAAATATGGATCCTGTCTCTGGGGAATTATAGGAATAAACAGTACAAATAAAGTTGAGACTCTCCTCAGTAAAGCATATTCTCCAAATGTGTTTGACTTCAAAAGTAAAAAAAAAAAAAAAAAAAAAAAAAATCTGCTATATATGTTCTTGGAACATTCTTGCTAGATAGATTGATTCTGTGAGGATTTGGGGTGTTTCTTGGTGAAAATAGCTGGTCCTGACTTAGAAGTAGAACACTGCATTTCGATTCCAACTATTTTTGGAAGAAGCTAATCGCTCACTTCTTTTTTTTCTTCCACAAAATCTCAGTGTACCTCTACTATGCTCCCTCAGTGTGCATCTTAGTAGTTCCAGATTTAAAAGTGTCCTTGAGTTTGCAACGTTATGTTTGGAATTGAGGAAGGGATAACTGAAATCATTTTGCATGTCTTCTCTTTCTTTTTCCTTGTAATATTGGTGATTAGGAAGAGAAAACAAGGTGGCCTGTCATTAGAAGAAGAGGAAGAGGAGGGTGTCAGTGGGGAATCTGGAGGAAGCAGCAGTGAAGAAGAAGTCACAGCTGCAGAGCAAGAAGAAGGCACGAGGTCCGAGGATGCCAGGAAAAAGAAGGAGGATGAACTGTGGGCCAGCTTCCTCAACGATGTGGGACCAAAATCAAAAGTGGCCTCGAGTCCACAAGTTAAAGTAAGTTGCTAGGTGAATGAGATGAAGTTTTTCCAGAAATACCCTAAGTTGTCCAAATAGATTTTATTACATTTATAAACAGATTTGAATCTTCTAGCAGAAGCCAGACTACATAGCCCTAGCTGATTTGGCTCAGTGGATAGAGTGTCCGCCTACAGACTGAAGGTCCCAGGTTCGATTCCATTCAAGGGCACATGCCTAGGTTGTGGCTCAATCTCCAGTAGGGGGCATGCAGGAGGCAGCCAGTCCGTGATTGTCATCATAGATGTTTCTATATCTCTTTCCCTCTTCCTTCCTCTCCATGTCCCCCAGTGTGCATCTTAATTAGTAGTCCCACATTTAAAAATTTCTTGAGTTTGCAACATTGTGTTGCAAGAATAAAAATATATTTTAAAAAAGAAAAAAAAGAAAGACTATATAGATGCCTTTTGATAGTAACTCCATAAAGTGAAAAATAAAGCATTCCCTCTGGTTGGAAAAATTAGCTTTTCCATCAAATCAATTTTTAGTAGGTCTTCAACTGTTTAGAGATTAAACATTTATGAATAGCCATAAACATCATGTTTGAATGGTTCATTTATATTTCATTCTTATGTGAAGTGATTACATTTCTTTTTTCATAGAAAAAAGAAGAGACTGAAGAGACTAGTTCAAATAAACTGTTGGTCAAAGCAGAAGAGCTAGAGAAACCTAAAGAAACAGAAAAAGTTAAAATCACCAAGGTGTTTGATTTTGCTGGTGAAGAAGTCAGGTAAGATGACCTTCACAAACTTCACATACTAGTTCTTTTAAAAATGAGCTGTTTTCTGCCGGGACCGGTTTGGCTCAATGGATAGAGTGTCGGCTTGGGGACTGAAAGGTCCCGGGTTCGATTCCGGTCAAGGGGGCATGTACCTTGGTTGCGAGCATATCCCCAGTGGGGAGTGTCAAGAGGCAGCTGATCGATGACTCTCTCTCATCGATGTTTCTAGCTCTCTATCTCTCTCCCTTCCTCTCTATAAAATCAGTAAAATATATTTTTTTAAAAATGAGCTGCTTTCTAAATAGTACTATGAGTCATCTGTCCTCATTCCACCCAACAATTATATTTGATTTCAGGGAAAACAGTGGTTCCATGAATTATCAGAGAACATGAGAAAGGGCCTTTCACATATCAGAATCTAGTTTTGGAATATTATGAAGTGGTTGGCTGAAGAGAAACAGGAAAATGTAAGAGTAAAGTATATGGTTCCACATACTCATTGACATGTCTTGTGACCTCAGTTGTCTATTTTTCCATTTATTACTTTCATTAACTATGAAGTATGAGCCCCAGGGAAGCCTCTGAAATCAAGTAAGAATTGAAAATACCAGTAGAGAAATTTGGTTCCAATATTATTTCCTTACCTTAATATTATTATTATTTTAATATATTTTTATTGATTTCAGAGAGGAAGGAAGAGGGAGAGAGAGAGAGAAACATCAGTGATGAATGCAACTCATTGATTGGCTGCTTCCTGCATGCACCCTATTGGGGACTGAGCCCAAAACCTGGGCACGTGCCCTTGGATGGAATCGAACCGGGGCCCCTTCAGTCCACAGGCCGATGCTCTACCCACTGAGCAAACTGGCTAGGGCATTAATATATTTTTTTAAATTGATTCAGGAGGTTTGTTATTGTTACTAGTTTAGAAAAATAATAGGGACTTAATAACCTCCTGGCCATTCCAGGTAAGAGCCATATGTCAAGAATTTCCTCTTTCCACTGAAACCGGTTTGGCTCAGTGGACTGAAAGGTCCCGGGTTCGATTCCGGTCAAGGGCATCTACCTTGGTTGCGGGCACATCCCCAGTAGGGGGTGTGCAAGAGGCAGCTGATTGATGATTCTCTCTCATCGATGTTTCTAACTCTGTCCCTCTCTCTTCCTCTCTGTAAAAAATCAAAAAATATATTTAAAAAAAAAAGAATTTCCTCTTTCCTACTCACTTAAACTTTATTATGTGAAAACAGCAGATCTATAATTTAGAGCTAAGTGAAAATAGATGAAGTGCTAATTAATAATTTTTAGGTAATCACATTTATTTTCTTTGACAGTAATTAATTAGACCTGTATGCTCTTTTAAAAAATAATTTCCCCTAAAATCAACATTATTTTTTTTAATCCTCACTTGAGGATATGTTTTTATTGATTTTTAGAGAGAGATGAAAGGAGAGAGAGAAAAACATTTATGTGAGAGAGAAACATTAATTGGTTGCCTCCCATACGTGCCCCACCAGAAATGGAACCCATAGCCGAAACCGGTTTGGCTCAGTGGTAGAGCATTGGTCTGCGGACTGAAAGGACCCACGTTCGATTTCGGTCAGGGGCATGTACGATGGTTGTGGGCACATCCCCAGTATGGGGTGTGCAAGAGGCAGCTGGTCAATGTTTCTCTCTCATCGACGTTTCTAGCTCTCTATCTCTCTCCCTTCCTCTCTGTAAAAAATCAATAAAATATATTTTAAAAATAATAATAATAATAATATCTGCCAAAACCGGTTTTGCTCAGTCGATAGAGTATCTGCCTGCGGACTGAAAGGTCCCACATTTGATTCCGGTCAAGGCCATGTACCTTGGTTGCGGGCACATTACCAGTAGGGGGTATGCCCGAGGCAGCTGATTGATGTTTCTCTCTCATCTATGTTTCTAACTCTCTGTCCCTCTCTCTTCCTCTCTGTAAAAAATCAATAAAATATATTAAAAATATATATGTCTAAGTTTTCAGCAATTATTTCATCCAGTGAAAATATATCTTGGAAAAAATAATTTGGTAATAATAGTTTTATAGATGGTGTGGAGCAAAACTTTTTAATTATTTAAAAAAAAAATTCTCCCCAACTTTTTCTTCTGAAAAATTTTACTTAAAAGTTTTTAATGAAATAAAATAGCTTATTTTCTTCATGTTAATTTATTTAATCTGAGTTGGGTTGATGACAATAGTACATCTGGAGGATAATGTAAATTCTGTTGTTTTCTTTTAAAAAAAATATATTTTATTGATTTTTTATAGAGAGGAAGGGAGAGAGATAGAGAGCTAGAAATGCCAATGAGAGAGAAACATCGACCAGCTGCCTCTTGCACACCCCCTACCGGGGATGTGCCCACAACCAACATACCTGTCCCAGACCGGAATCGAACCCGGGACCTTTCAGTCCGCAAACCAACACTCTACCACTGAGCCAAACCGGTTTTGGCTCTGTTGTTTTCTTTAAAAAAAAAAAAAAAAAGATAATATTCATGATAAAGAAATTAATCTCAGCCCTAGCTGGTTTGGTTCGGAGGATAGAGTGTTGGCATGTGGACTGAAGGGTCCCAGGTTCAATTTCGGTCAAAGGCACAGGCCCTGGTTGCAGGCTTGATCCCCAGGAGGCAGCCAATCAATTATTTTCTCTCCTCATTGTTGTTTCTATCTCTCCCTCTGTGAAATCAATTAAAATATGTTTAAAAATATGTATAATTTATAAAAATAAAGGCTTACAATTCCACTTCTGAGTATTCAAAGAAATTCAAAACACTAATTTGAGAAGATATATGCATCCCTATACATTACTGTAATTTATGAAGCATTACTTACAGTAACTCAGACATGGAAGAAGCCTACATGTCCATCAATATATGGATAAAGAAGAAGTGGTACAGATATATAATAAAGTATTACTTGGCCATAAAATAAGTGAAAAAATTTTACTATTTGGGACAAGATGAATGGGCCTACTAAATGAATAAGTCAGACAGACAAATACTATATTATTTCACTTATATGTGGAAATCTAAAGAAGAAAATAAATGAACAAACAAAAATAGATTTATACAGAGAATAAATTGATGGTTGCCAGATAGGAGAGGGGTTGGGGGGCCAGGTGGAAAAGGTTAAGGAATTGAGTACAAATTGTCAGTTACAAAATAGTCACGGGGGTGTAAAGAACAGTTTAGGGAATACTATATAGTCAGTAATATTGTAATACTTCGGTATAGTATCAGATGGCTACAAGACTTATCAGGGGGATCACTTTGTAAGTTAAATGTCTAACCACTATGCTGTATACCTGAAACTAATATAATATTCTATGTCAGCTGTAATAAAAAATAAAAATTTTTACAATTTTAAAAATCCATGCTTACATTTTATCACATTTTTGGGTTTTAGTTGACAAATTCACCTAAGCACATTCTAATGTGGTCTTTCTGCACATGACTAATACACATGTGACCACCTTGCAATTTTGACAGTGCCTGAATTGATGATCTATATTCTGTTTAATGCAGTGAGTTCACTGATCATGTCTTGAATATTATGACATTGTCAAATTATAAACAAGTTTCTGCTGAAACCGGTTTGGCTCAGTGGTAGAGCATTGGTCTGCGGACTGAAAGGTTCGATTCCTGTCAAGGGCATGTACATTGGTTGCGGGCACATCCCCAGTGGGGGGTGTGCAAGAGGCAGCTGGTTGGTGTTTCTCTCTCATCGACATTTCTAGCTCTCTATCTCTCTCCCTTCCTCTCTGTAAAAAATCAATAAAATATATATTTTAAAAAAAAGACAAATTATAAACAAGTTTCTAAATACTATTCTGTACCTACCTTGTTTTGGGCCAATATCAGGTAGTTTTGCAGCCTACATTTTAAGTAGCTTTTTATATAATTCTATTCAGATTTCCCCCCAGTTATTCCAGTAATGTTCTTTATAACTATTTCTTGTTCAGTCCAACATCAACCCAGGATTAGATACTGCATTTAATCTTTTTAGCCTCCTTGAAATTAGAACTGTTCTAAAGCCTTTTTATATTTCTTTACATATATTGTTTGAGTTCATCTGTATTGTAGAATGTCCCTCAATTTAGATTGTTGTATTATTTCCTCATGCATAGAGTCAGATTAATAACTTTAGATAATAATGCTACACTGATGATGTTTTGTCCTCCTCGCTGCTCCCAGTATTGGTGGTGATAAGTTAGACCACTTAAGCAGTATCTTTCATAATTCTCCATTGTAAAAACACCCTTTTCCTTGCTAAACAGTCATTTTGCAGAACAATTAAATAATACTTGACCAGCGATCACCCTGGAAACTATGGAGTTGTCTAATAGAGGGTAGCAGAACACTGATGGCAAACCTTTTGAAGGCCTAAAAAAACAATATTGAGCCGAAACTGGTTTGGCTCAGTGGATAGGGTTTCGGCCTGCGGACTGAAAGGTCCCAGGTTTGATTCTGGTAAAGGGCATGTACCTTGGTTGCAGGCATATCCCTGGTGGGGGCTGTGCAGGAGGCAGCTGATCGATGATTCTCTCTCATCGATGTTTCTGACTCTCTATCCCTCTCTCTTTCTCTCTGTAAAAAAATCAATAAAATATATTTTAAAAATAATATTTAAAGTGTTTAATATACTTTTAGAAATAAGATATGCATTATTTTCCATGTGTCATATGAGATATCTAAGAAAGAGCCTATATAACAAAAGCCTAATATGCTAAGTGTCCAGTCATCCATTCAACCAATCAAAGTGTAATATGCTAATGATATGCTAAGGCCACTCAACCTCTCACTATGATGCGCACTGACCACCAGGGGGCAGACGCTCAATGTAGGAAGCTAGAAGTGAGGCTCATGGCTGGTGAGCACAGCTGCAGTGGCCTCTCCCACCTTTATGGCAGTGCTAAGGATGTCTGACTGATGGCTTAGGCCCACTCTCAAGCCATCATTCAGACAGCCCCTGAGAGCTCCCAGACTGCAAGAGGGCACTGCCATGCCCCCAGTGCATGAATTTTGTGCACCGGGCCTCTTGTTTATTATAATAACCACTGGCTTTACATAAGAATAAGAAAGTTGGTGAGTAACTGTTATTTTGAGAAATCATTAAATTTTCTGATCAAATTAAATTTTATGGACTTATTACTATTTATTAACAAAGTTGTTTGACACAAATTTCCTATTTTATTTTTAAAGCAAATGATTGGTAATTTTAAATACTGGGTGGATATTCAGGGAGACTGGTATTTCTATGATTTGTCAGAAGAGGGCAGCACCATATCTGTCAACAAATATCAGGGAAGCACTTTTTCATAAATATAACACATATTCAAAAGTAATATATACTTATTACTTTAAAATATACATTATAGAGCTATATAACATGACAAGTCAAAGTTTTCTAACTCTTCTAAAAAAAAAACTAGCAATTTGGCAGAATTTCTTTTTAACTTAAATTATTTATATTTAAATTTATCTATTGTAAGGAACTCTCATGTAGGGACTTGGAAGGCCTGAAACTTTAATTGACAACTAGATGCAAATGTAAATGTCTAGATTCCAGCATATCTTTAATCTCATGTCATTCTGATTTTTCTTTTTGTATGAAGTTAAGAGCATTATTACATATTTAACAAATGTGAGAAAGAACTAGTGATGACTGGGAAGAATTTGTAAGTATAAGTATGGTAGCATTAGTACAAAGTCTTGTCCTTTTTTCTAATTATATTTTAATAGTTAAATTTTGGGTCTTCAAACCCCCCCCCCCCCCCACACACACACACACAAACTTGAAAAAATGTGTAGCTTATTAACCAGGGGAATGAGGAAAAGTAGTATTTTTTTCCTATCACATACCATCTGAGCCAGTTAGCTCAGATTTTCCTATGTGATTCACCTTTTGGAAAAGGCTAGTCATGGAAAGTTTGTGCCTAAATAAATACTTTTCAGGAAGTTCTGAGTAAGTGAAAATGAACTTAAAATGTAATTTCTGCTGATAACACTCGAATTAACTATTGCTAGTAGTGGGCGTTTTCCTGTCAGGATTCCCTCATATGTTAGAAGTGGTCTGTAATTTAAACCACTCCTACTTGAAGATAGCTGCATCTCTTCTTATTGCTTGTTAAAATTGGAGTTCTTTTAGGTGTACTATCAATGAAGAGTACTCTGCTAATACTACTTTATGTCAATTAGCAAAAATCCTGAGAGAAAAACACCAGTGTGTAGAAGGTGTTTCCTAATCAATATGAATAGGACTTTGACACTAGAAATTAACAGAGATACTCTCACAGTTATACTTTTTTCCGTGCTTTCTTTATGGCATTTAACTATACACCATGTATTGTCATATTGTTTTCATGTTTGGCTCCCCTGATAGACTGTGAGCCCTTTAAGGGCAGAGGCCATGTCAGTTTTTTAAAATATGTCCCACATCTACAGGGTTCTCTCTAGCATTGCTCTTTAATCTCTGCCTAGTCTTGAAAGAGTAACTGAATCCCTTAAGATTTAATTTTTCTCACTCATAAAAAGTAAATGTGTTAGCTGTTGCTGTGGAACTACTGTATAACAAGCCATCTCAAGACTCAGTGGTATACACCAGTAAGATTTATTTGTTGCTAGTGTGTTTCTGGCTGATTGGGGCTGAAGTGATCTAGGCTTGGCTCCAAGCTACTGGTTGGTTCAGATCTGCAGCATGTGTCTTTCACCCACCGTGGACCAACAGCTGCTTGAGGCATATTCTTTTTATGGCTAGAGGGTGTCAAGGGGCATGTGAAACTACAGAAACATTTAAAGCTTCTGTTGCTGTCAAATCAGTTAGCATTGAAACAAGTCATGTGTCCAAGGTTAACCTCAGTGGGGTGGGGAAGTAGGTTAAGAGGGAAGGAGTGGATATTTGCTCAATGATGATTTAATCCATCAGATACATTCTCTCTCTTACTTTTGACTCTTGACTCTTACTGCTGAGAGGTTTGTTTGGGAGAGTTGAGAAGACACAAATTAAACCTTACAGAAAGTAGGTCCAGATCTTAGAGGACTTTGAGGGCAAGGTTCAGCAGCTTATGTTTGATTCTCAAGTAATATTTAGCCATCACAAGACCTTGCTTAGGGGACTGTGTTTCTTGTTTTGTTTTTAAGTCACCCATCAAGAATAACTCGGCAATCTTTTCCCAATGAAAATTCTATTTTTCTTTCCTTTTTTCTTTTTCCCCAATGAAGATTCTTAATATAAAACTCTCAAACTTACATTCTGTGTCACTTTTGTGGGTGACACAGCACTGAGTGCAAGAGTGAGATGGCTCTTGATAAGAAAATTTGGTTCTGCTCTCAAGTAGCCTACAAGGAAGGATAGAAGACATACTTACATTTCTGCAAAGATGGAATTTGTAGGATTCACCTGTCATTATTCTTGGCCAGTCTTATTCTGGATGACCTGGTTGAACACCCATAATACAATGACTGTAATTTTCCACCCTCCTGATGGATTGGAATTTAAACAAAATTCCTCAGATGTTTTTGAATTGGCAAGCCTAGGCAGGCATTAGGCATTTCTCTTTCTTTATCTGAAATTTCAGGCACCATGAATATCCTTCTTTGCTCCTTATTTGATCATCAGTTTTATTGAGGGGAATTTTTGCAGATTTGAAATTGGGTAGGGTTCTCAACTATAATTTTCTTCCATTCCCAAATTAGTGCCAAATTAGCCAGCTTTGAGGGATCTTTGGGTTCTATTGTAGAATTGGACCTTTTGCAGAGTATTTTCAAATGTTTATACTGTTGCTTTTCTCTTTGAAAAGAGTATTTTCTATTTGAAATAAAACCAGTATTTTTCTCCCAAATATTTCATCTTCCCATTACAATTTTTACTAGGCCTTTTATTTTATTTTATTTATTTATTTATTTATTTATTTATTTATTTTTAATTTCAGAGAAGAAGGAAAAGGGAAGGAGGGAGGGTGGGGGGGGGGGAAGAGAGAGAGAGAGAGAGAGAGAGAGAGAGAGAGAGAGAGAGAGAGAGAGAGAAACATCAGTGATAAGAGAATCATCAATCAGCTGCTTCCTGCATGGCCGCTACTGGGGATTGATAACCCTGGCATGTACCTTTGACCTAAATCGAACCTGGGATCCTTCAGTCCACAAGCCAACGCTCTATCCACTGAGCCAAACCAACGAGAGCTTTACTAGGCCTTTAAATGTGAGTCCTAATCTACATGTGAGGTACAGTAGGAGAGCCTTTTCAGCCTTCTCATCAATAACCCACAAGGACTGTGATTCAGTAGTGACTCCTGGAGTGTTTCCTGCTGACAGAAGTAATGGAGGGGATTTTAGAGAGCTCAGACTTATATGCATTGCTGTTTCATTTAGCATGGGAAAATGTCTTTATCTAGAACTTGGAGTAAACTTGAACCATAAAGCTTAGCAGCCAGAACTTATTGAAAACCCAGTGGGTGTTTTTCCTTGTCATTTATTCCCTTTATTTAGATTTTGTTTCTGTCTTTTTAATTCTTATGTAAACTTAATGTTTCCTTCCTTGGCACAGGGTGACTAAGGAAGTGGATGCTACATCGAAAGAGGCCAAATCCTTCTTCAAGCAAAATGAGAAAGAAAAACCACAGACTAATGTCCCTTCAACTCTGGCGTCACTCCCTGCCGGGTCAGGGTGAGTATTCTAATCCTGGCCCAGGTGTACCTGGCGCTTTGGAGAAGCTGTTTTCAATACGAGGACCCGCTGTCATGACTCCTTTCCTGAAAGGGAAGGAATTATGCTGCTGCTCTGCCTTTGCTGAAATATTTGCCAAATGGAAAAGGCAAAGGAAAATTAGCCATTGGTCTCTCTTTGACACCAGCCGGAAAAAAGTCCTGGTTTATAGGGTTGATCACAGGGCTGAACATGTAGTAAACTTCACCTTTAAAAAAATATCTTACAAATAAAACTATCAGCAGTTCTTCAGAATGTCTGATGAAGATTTGGGTTGAGTACTCTGATCCCGTAAGGACCTCAAAGGAACATAAAAAGATGAAAGCTGATTTACAAATAATTCTATTAACACATTTTTAGGAACTTAATAGATTTTCCCCTTCATATATTCTATATTACTAAAGTTATTTTTAGCTGAAGACTAAAATAGAAATCTTTTCTCTTTGGAGAAAATAAAGACCTCTTTCTTCTTAACCTAGATGTAAAAAGTGAAGCCTCACAGTAAATATGAGAAACCAGGGCACTAGCCTACAGGGAAGTGAACATGGACCACCCCCCATAGGTAGCATTGATCACCTGACTCCTGTGGGGAATTCTGTGTCCTTGAGATATTTGAGCTAGAAAAGTCATCAATAGGGGCTTTTCTGACCCTTCTGTCAGAGTTTGCTGCTGCTTCCCTCCTCAAACATACTTTATGTCATTGCTATGAATAGCAAAGTTGTTTTTTTTACATTTAAAAAAAATGTTTTTTCTATCATATTATGAGCTTTTCTAGGACAGGCCTTTCTCATCTCTGCAGCCCTGGCTTCAAACAATGCTATGGTTTATGTTTCACCAGTGTACTCACTAGGGTTACGTTTACCCAGAAGCAAACCCTGAGGTAGAAGCTTGAGTGCAAGTCTTTACTGTGAGAGGTGATTCCAGGAAGCCTCAGTAGGCAGGTGAGAAGGGGTGGAAGGAAGCCAGCACAGGTTGCATTACCCAGCAGGTTGCCGCTGGTGGTGGCTGGCCTTTAGTCCTGCTGAGGAACTCAGGGAGATTGTGAAGAACATGGCCAGGGCGAAAAGGCTGGGATATTTATCCTCCAATTCCCATCGGTCCTCAGGCTGGGGCTGCAGGGACTCTAGTTAGGTGCTGCTCTCATGGTGTGCCATGGTGGTGAGTGTAAGGACATGGGGCTCGGGCTCTGTGCACATCTGCGCCTGCTCGGTATCTGCTTCTCGATGGAGAAGCTGGGTTGTAGAGGTCATGTTGTAGTTACACAGAAACCTAAGAAACAAAAGGATTGAGTGCTTTCTACCACAGTGGGAATGATAGAAGCACAGACCAAGGCAGCTCTGGGAGGACCGTGGTAATGTGAACAGAGTTCTCAGGCCTGGCCCTGAACTTTTTAAGTTGTGGTTTGCAATCATCGTTTAAAAGAAATAAAATGGAGTAAAAAATATTAGAGGACATCACATATCATATTAAGAGTAAATATTGTTTCATGACATTTTTAATTTCCGTTATTGATGTGTTTGTCACAAAATAAACTATTTTTAGTGAAGGTTCAGATTTTTAAAAAGTGAGGCTGTAGGTTAAGCAACATGTTTTTAGCCTCATAATAGTTATATTATTTGAAAGAGATTCTCTTTAGACCAGTAGCTTTTAGACTTTATTGACTGCCACTCAAAGTAAAGAATACATTTTACAGTATCCCTGAGTACATCCATAAACATAGGTATGTAAAAAAGTGAAATAGTATTTCCCTTTACTATATATGATGAATTCTGATTTTCTACCTTACGTTGTTTCAAGGATGTGTTATTTCAAAAATGTTATAACTCACTTAATTTATTTCACAATCTACTACAACCTGAATTTGAAAAAATCCTGCTTTAGTCTATATATGGAGTTAGCCTCTACAGGCTTTTACTTGGGTTACTGATGTTATTAAGTAATGTCTCTTGCATTTATTAAAAGTGTTACTATAAATGTTACCTCTGGATTACGTGCCAAATATGACTTAAGTACTAGATTCTATCTTAGGCTTCTAGCATAGTTTCAGCTAGCACCATTTTCACTCCTAGCCCCCTTGTTGTTGTTGTTTTGTTATTATTATTGTTTTGTTTGTTTGTTTGTTTGTTTTTTGTAAGAGAACATTTATTTGGCGGGAGGTGTGAAAAAAATAAAACATTTATTTGGTAAATTATAGAGGTTGAAAAAGTAATTCCTAGAAGAAATGGGCTTAGCAAGCAAGTTGTAGAGGTAAAAGAAGGGCCTCGGAGCTTGGGAGTGGGGAAGCTAATGGTGAAGTGCCTGGGGGTAAGTGATAGGGAGAGAGGGGGAGGGGGAAGAAAAGGGAAAGGCACAGGTGTGCTCCCAGGAGGGCATTTCTTAATATAATTCCTATTGATACTTAGAGAATCAATATGTTTCAGAAAATACTCTGTTGCTATGATTATGAAGCTAACTAGAGAAGGGAGAAGTGGCAGCTTAACAAGGTCAACTTGTTTGTCACTAAGTCACATACATGGAAAGATCACTGCATCCTATAACCATGCCTTTTCTTTCTTAGGATCACAGCCTTTCTAGGATAAGAAATCTGCTGGGGGCGGGGAATCTGCAGATATCATATCTGTATTAGGGAGACCCAGCAGGAAACAGATGGCATCCTCTTATAAGGATACTTTGAGGAGAGTTTAATAACTCACAAAGTGCTGAAAAACCAAAAGGGTAGGAATAGTGCAGTGTCCGTGGGGCTGGTAATAATGAGGCTCCATTACCACCCCTAGACTTGAAGAGGTAGGAGGGGGAGCAGTTTATGGCAGACAGAGAGGGCCTCCTGATAGGAGCTGAGGCCTTTACTTAAGTGATGGACCCTCTTGAGGGTTCTGTGGGAATAAATAAGCAGATCTCCCTTCTTCCATCTCTTGCCAGGATGTTCCAGTGACCACTGAGTCTTGTGAAAGAAAAGTTTATTCTGACACTTTTTTTAATGGTAAGGAAGATTTAGGATTATCTCAGTAGATATTAAGACTACCACACTATGGAAGAGAGATAAGGCTCAACTTTGAAAACAGTAAAGACCGCTAAGGATTCATAGCCAAGGAGCAGAATGAGAGGGCAGGATCAGTGGGTGGAATATGACTAAGAGGAGACATCAGGGGTGGGGGAATTCTTGCTGAACCTACCTAACTGGATTCTTGCTGAAAGCAGGCGAGGAATTATACATCAAAAGTGGGAAATGAGGAATTCGATCAGATAATGAGAGTGATCAGATATTAAGAATAGGGGATTCTCTTTAAACTGACTTTGCAGGATTCTTGCTAAAACTGGGCTACTATTATGCAAGCCCAGTAAGAACAGGGCCCAAGACTGAAGCCTAGTAGAGAAGAGGGCTCAAAGAAGCTTGACTAAGCTTTGATCCAGAAGGAAGTCTTTTGCCTGTCCAGGACAGCGTCTGGGGCAGAGAACAGCATGAGGAGGACTTAAAGGGAATCAACTGATGAACCATCTTTCAATAGATTAATGAACTACTTTCTGACTCCCTTATAAAGTGAAATTTGATCAGAACCAGTTTTTTTTTTGTTTGTTTTTTTAAGTTATAATGAAACATAGTAGATACAAGGATATGTTTGCCTGAGAGAAAAAGCCCTCAAGAGTTGTATATGAAAATGGGGACTCATTTGAATTTCTGAATAAATCTAGAAGATGACACTCAAGGTTGGCCTGATTGTTTTTTCTTACATCTCAAAAAACTTGTACAACCCTAACCGGGTTGGCTCAGTGGATAGAGCGTCAGCTTGCCAATTGAAGGATTCCAGGTTTGATTCAGATCAAGGGCATGTATCTTGATTGCAGCACATCCCCAGTAGGGGGTGTGCAGGAGGCAGCTGCCTATCCCTCTCCCTTTCTCTCTGTAAAAAAAAAATAAAAAAATAAAAACATATACATATACATATATATATATATTTTTAAGCTTGCACAGCTATAATTGTGCTTGGGAAAAGACAGGGTCAGGAGGAATTCAGCTGATCTGGGGTGTCTCATTGGACACATTTTATCAGCACCAACATTAGTGTCTGCTGCAGGCTGCACATGCATGTTATAGAAAATCTTTTTATGGAGAAAAATCTATAGGAATAATCTAATTTATTAAAAGAAAATTATTCTAATATTTTTCCACAGTCTTTTTATTTTAATACTTGGAGTTGCTTCAGTTTATAGAAATTGTCCAGCAGAAACATATTTATTTATTTTTCCTCTCTCTAAACAGATTTAAGCAATACAGGAAAACCAGAACAGCAGAGTAAAACATCCTGTCCCACATCCTTTGCTAGCAAATAAGAACAGATTTGCAGCAGCAAATGTTTGTGACTGAAAACGCATTTCCTCCACATGTTTAAAATAGCACACTGCTTAGGCTATAAAAAGCCAACGTTTATGCTTTGGGAATGGAGTAAACCAAACACCCAACTTTAATTAGAGGCAGGAATTAGAGACAAGAAGCACTCCCTACATTTGGTCATAGAAAGCACAACGCTCAGTGTCTAAACTCCTGTAGTTTTGTTACTTTAAGCTCTTGAGATCTGCTCCCTCTATCCCACCCCACTCCATCATCATTACCAATACTATTGGCTATTTCATTCGGCTTTTGTGCATATCTGGCTGGTCAACCTTCAACCCCACATTTGTTAGTTAACCTTATTCCAGCAGTGGGCTATTAGCCTTATTAAAGTTTGTATAATATTCCTTGTTTAATTAAGGACTTATTATTTAGTTGCCTCCTTATAAAGGGGTAGACAAAAGTAGTTTGAGTTACCAGGCATCATTGCTTAAAAGACACCAGTAAGTCATAAGCCCTGGCCTCCGTGGCTCGCTTGGTTGGGCGTCTTCCTGTGCATCAAAAGGTTGCTGGTTGGATTCCCTATCAGGGCACAGGCTCCATCCCTGGAAAGGGGCATGCAGAAGGCAGCTGA